GAAAGTGTTACGTGCCAGATGGTGATGGTGCTGCATGTCGCGTTCACTGCGCAAGACAGCTGAGAAAATTCTATATGTATAACTATATTCTAAAAGATAATAATAATAATAATAATAATAATAATAATAATAATAATCCGCGCACCTGGCCTGGGCGACTAGGTCGGGCGGGGAGGTGATACCCCGACGCGGCGCGTCCCCAGGTGGCGGATAGGGGAACGCTCGCCACGTACTCTTCGGAGTGCGTGGAGGGTAGGAGTGAAATAAAATAGCTCCCGCGGACCAAACACTAGGGGAGGAAACCCCGAATCAAAAACCAAACATGGAGAAGTCATATAGAGAGGAGAGATCTACGGTGTAGGGGGTCGGATCCCCAGTACCGGCGTCCGTCAGGGGTGAGCAAGCGGGCCCCGGGACGTCGTTATCTGACGACCGCAGTACTACGCAGGTTGACCACTTGGCCTGCGTAGCATTAAATGCTACAAGTGAAGGGACGAACGTCTCCGGATCCGATCGGAAGATGAGACAGACGTCCACATCGTCGGACGGTGGCCGCCGGAGGCGACGCGGCACGGATGATAATTCATTCGTGCCGCCTCGGAGCCCTGTCCGTCAGGAAGTGGCCGCGGTATCTCCCCAACTCAGCGGGGGAGATGCCGTGACACAAAATGTTCCGGGCCAGGTATCTCCGCTGCGGAATCCTGGCGTTCGTGGGCCAGGAAATGGGGCCAGTTCTGAACGCGCCACGGTGTTGGGGACCTGGCGTTTAGAACTTTGGCGACTCTCGAGCGAGCGGAGAGCTCGCAAATAGTGGCAATGAAAACCGTCCTTGATGTCATGCGACAGGCATCTCTCAAACAGAGGAATGTCAGCATGGACATCAAGGACGGAGGCAGAGCTGGCGGAGGCGGTGGACGCACTGGGCCATGGGCTAGTGGAGAGACAGCGTGTCCTTCACATGCTGCAGGCCCTCGGCACGCTCACTGCGCCGCCAGTCGGGAACACACCCGCCCCTCGAACACGGCCTGATCGGAAACGAGACAGGGCCGTGGCTTCCAGCCCAGAGGAAGAGGCTGCCAGGGCGAAAAAGAAGCCGGCCGTGGACCAAGAAAAATGGTCCACGGTTGTGGGGAGAAAGAAGAGGGCGGACAAACCGTCTGATCTTCCACTCCCACGTCCAAAGCCGCGGAGAGGCGAGAAGGGGCAGATATCTGCCCAACCTCCGTCAACGTCGACGGTACCGAAGAACTCTGCTCCTCCAAAGGAGCAGCGTGCCGTCGACGAAAGGCGAAAGAGAAAGAGGAGGAGAAGGCGCCGTCGCCCTAAAACGAGGTGGACGGCTGTCCTCCTAAAGCCGGCCGAGGGTGCGACGTACGCGTCCATTGTGGGCGCGATACGTCGCCAGGTCCGGCCGGAGGAAACGGACACGGAGGTCCGCCAAATAAGGAGGACGCGGGAAGGGGCCGTCCTTCTGGAGCTTTGACGATGTGCGGACGGCGCCAGGTTCCAGTCCGCGCTCCGGACGGCGGTGGGGGACACCGCGGCAGTACGGGGCCTGAAACCCCGCGCGACGATCGAAATCCTCGATCTTGATTGCGTCACGACCTCAGGAGAGGTCATAGACGCGGTCGCGCGGGTGACAGGGGAGTCGCCGGAGGAAATCCGCGTCTCCGTTCTCGCGACGAACCCCCGAGAGCTGCGGAAGCCCGTGGTGGAGCTTGACGAAGGAGCTGCCGTTAAGCCTCCTGGCCGCCGCCAAGCTCAAGATCGGCTGGGTCAATTGCCGCATCCGGCGCTGGACGGAGGTTCAGCGTTGCTTCCAGTGCCTGGGCTACGGACACACTCGTAGAGAGTGTAAAGGCCCGGACCGGAGCAACGCTTGCCGCAGGTGCGGCAAGGATGGCCACAAGGCGGCGGCGTGCGAGGCCACCCCCCACTGCCATTCGTGTGCGGAGATAAAGGACGCGACGACGGACCACTACGCGGGCTCGGGGAAGTGCCGGATCTTCCGGGAGATCCTCGCCGCAAAAAAGGGTAAGCCTTCTTCGCGGCCACGGTAAGGATTCTCCAGGGAAACCTGAACCGGTGTCGACTTACCGATGACTTGCTAACGCAGCTCGCTATGGAGAAGCGATCGGGACTGCTCCACCTGGTTCAGGGATGATCTCGGCACCGTGGCAGTGTGGATCACGGATCCACGGGGAGTCCGTATAGACTCTCACAGGGCTGCCGCGGGACACGTCTGGGTCACCAGCGGTGTCCTCACGTACGTCAGCTGCTATCTGTCCCCGAATGATAGCATCTCCGAATTTCGGGGAAAGCTCGACGTGCTGGAGGACACCCTACGCGACAAGTCCGGTGGGCTTGTCGTGGCTGGTGACTTCAACGCTCGAACCTGCGAGTGGGGGATGCCTCGCCCCGACACGAGGGGAAGGTTGGTGGTCGAGATGGCCTCCAGACTTGGACTCGTCGTGTTGAACGTGGGGTTAACGCCGAGGTAACGACGCCCTGGATTTGGAGACTCGATACCGGATGTCACCCTGGTGTCTGAGGATCTTGTCCAGAGAGTGGCGAACTGGAGGGTGATTGGTGATTTCACCGGTAGCGATCATAGCTACATCACCTTCCAGTTGATCGGCGAGCGGCAAGCGCGGCCTCCGGGAATTAGACGCCCGAGAGGATACGTCACCTCTCGTCTGGATGAGGATAGGCTCTACGCCACTTTCCAGGCGGGCGTGGAGGCCGTGCCGCAGACCCCGCGTGACCCGTCCGATAGAGCGGGTGCCGAAGCCATCGTGCGCGGCACCTTTAACCTCATCCGATGGGCATGCGACGAGTCAATGCCACGGGGGAGGCCATTCTCCGGCTGGCGGCAGGCGTACTGGTGGACCGACCAGATCGCCTCCCTCAGGAGAGAAGCCCTGAGGCTCCGGCGACGAGCTCAACGAGCTCGAAGTCGACCGGAGGCCGCCGCGCTGTCGGAGGACTACAAGGCGGCCAAAAAAGCCTTAACTCGTGCGATCAAGCAGAGTAAAGCGCGGTGTTGGCGCGATCTTTGCGACGACCTTAACCGAGATTCGTTCGGCGACGGGTACAAACTCGTCACCCGAAGACTCGGTGAGTTGTCCGCGAGGCCGGAACTGGACGCGACCACGATGCGCATTGTGGACGCTCTGTTCCCTGCACATCCGGTGAGGAGACACGATCTCGATCTGGTGGCAGGGACGGACGTCCCAATGTTCATGGCGGCGGAACTCGCTGTTGCGGCCGGGGCTATGAAGCTCCGCAAGGCTCCTGGGCCAGACAGTATACCGTCCGAGGCCCTGCGCGTGGTTGCGAAGAGGTGTCCCGATCTTCTGCTGCGCATGTACAACGCGTGCTTGTACACGGGTATTTTCCCGGCGCAGTGGAAGTTCGCTCGGCTCGCGTTGATCAGCAAGGGGAAAGGGGAACCAGGATCTCCGTCATCGTATCGTCCGCTGTGTTTGCTAAACACAAGCGGGCTGCTGATGGAGAGACTGGTGAAACCCCGGTTGCACGAGGCGATCTTGGCCGCTGGAGGTCTTTCGGACCACCAGTACGGCTTCCGGAAAGGGAGGTCCACCGTGAACGCGATCTCGCGCGTGGTAGACGCTGTACGCGTCGCCGACACGGCTTGCCACGCCGCGAGACCCGTCGTCCTGCTGGTGACGCTGGACTACGGAACGCGTTCAACATGGCGCGGTGGACGGACCATGTTGGAGGCGTTGGAAACAACGTTTCGGCTCCCGGAGTATCTACTGTCAGTGATGACGGATTATCTCCGGGACCGAAAGCTGTTGTACGAGACGTCGGACGGGCTCCGTGAACGACCGATCACTGCGGGTGCTGCGCAGGGATCGGTCATGGGGCCCGACCTGTGGAACGTCATGTACGACAGCCTCCTCCGCATGGGTATGCCAGAGGATTCGTTCCTCGCTGGCTATGCTGACGACGTCGCCGTGGTCATCACGGCGCGGACCGCCGAACTGGCTTAGCTCAAGCTGAACCAGGTCATGCGCCGAGTGGGGCGATGGATGGAGGACCACGGGCTGCAGCTGGCGATTCCGAAAACGGAAATCGTCATGCTGACACGCCGACGTATCCCCACCATCGTCCCGATGACTGTTAGGACCGAGACCATCCAGACCCGGAGGTCCGTGAAGTAGCTGGGTGTTGTCTTGGACAACAATCATGCTCAGCTTCGCGGAACATATCCGGAGGGTCTCGGTCAGGGCGGCGTCGTTGGCGACAGGACTTAGCCGACTAATAGCAAACCAATTCTACTACACCAATTCTACACCAATTTTACACCAATTCTACACTAATTCTACTACACCAGTTCTACACCAATTTTACACCAATTCTACACCAATACTACACCAATTCTACACTAATTCTACGCCAATTCCACACTAATTCTACTACACCAATTCTACACCAATTCTACTATACCAATTTAACAACAATACTACACCAATTCTACTACACCAATTTAACAACAATTCAACAACAATTCTACACCAATTCTACTTTACCAATTCTACTACACTAATTCGACACCAATTCTACACCAATTCTACACTAATTATACTACACGAATTCTACTACACCAATTCTACTATACCAATTCAACAACAATTCTACACCAATTCTACTACACCAATTCAACAACAATTCAACAACAATTCTACACCAATTCTACACCAATAATACTACACCAATTCAACAACAATTCTACACCAATTTCACACTAATTCTACTACACCAATTCAACTACACCAATTCTACACCAATTCTACACCAATTCTACACCAATTCTACACCAATTCTACACCAACGTGTGCTATTCTACACCAATTCTACACCAATTCTACAAGCCGAGCAAGAGGAAACTCTTGTTCTCGACAACCCAGAGCGTCCTGCTGTACGGAGCCGAAGTATGGGCAGATGCCTTTCGGCTCCGTAAGTACAGAAGCTGCATGTTTGCCGTACAGCGCCAGCTGGCGCTTCGGGCGGCGTGCAGCTACAGGACCGTCTCCGAGTGCGCAGTGGAAGCGGTCGCCGGGGTAATACCCATCGACCTGCTTGCATTCGAGCGGAAGAACATCTTCCAACGCTCCTTGGAGACTGGGCGGGCCGAAGCCGTGTCCCACGAGCGCGCAGCCACGCTACGCGCATGGCAGCAACGCTGGGAGGCTGCCCAGCCGGGTCGGTGGACGGCTCGGCTGACAGGGGATCTGGCCACCTGGATATCCAGGACCCATGGTGAGGTGAATTTTTACCTCACCCAGTTCCTCATAGGCCACGGGTACTTCCGTGCGTACCTGTCGAGGATGGGCAAGGTCGGATCCTCGGGATGCCGGTATTGCGACGCAGCAAGGGATGACGCGCTCCATACGTCCTTCGTGTGTGACCGCTTCGCCAGAGATAGGGTAGATCTCGGCGCCCTCGTAGGAGACGTCACTCCCGACAACATCGTGAGGGTGATGCTGGGGGGGCCGACCGAATAGGAAGCGGTCGCGTATTACGTGGAGCGTGTGCTGCGTCGCAAGAGAGAGGAGGGATGCCTGGATGATACTTCGGGCTCCCCCTAGCTTCGGTTGTATCCGTCCGGCGGAGACCATAGCGGGGCCTAGGAGCCACGCCCCCGGACTGTTGTTATGCGAAAGCAGGTCTGGTCCGGGGGGGCTAACGTGGAAAGCGGGTGGTTTTTTAGTGAGTAGGAATCTCACGCTACCGGACGCTGGCATCGTCCACCGGCGCTCGGTGCCTATAAAGGTTTTTCCACCCGCCAAAAAAAAAAAATAATAATAATAATAATGATAATGATAATATTAATAATTTTTTAGTATATGGTAAAATGTAGCCAAATGGAAGCGGGAGGGAATTTATGATGGAAGTGTTTATAAGAATAACAAGAATTTATAAGGAATTTGATGACTTTTAAGACAAGATTCTGACGCCAGCTCAACTATCTCGAGCAATATCGATGAGGATGTTCCTCGCGATGCCGAGCAATATTTAAATAGTTAGAAGGATGTAAGCGGTCAGGACACGAGGTTCGTACTTCGTCCTCTACAGGAATTCGGTGGGATACGGAGTGGAAGGTAACATATGGAGAAATCAATCGAAGTGGCACTATTTATGAAATTTAAATAAAAATGTATTCAAAAATTGTTCTGGAGTGCGCTGTAGCAGTTTAACAATGATAAAATTGACAAAAGTCGGTATTACAGTTTCAATTGCGGTAGGACGCAATGCTCTTCCTCCCTCCCTCCCCCCCCCTCTCTCTCTCTCCGCTTTACGACGATTTTTACAGTGGTGCTGATGAGAACGGCGAAGAACAATATCGGAAGAAAATTCGACTTACAAGGGGTGGTGTAGAGGCGTCCTTTACAATGAATCTAATAGAGGTACAATCAGGTTGAAAGTGGCGAATTTAGATGGAAAATAATCTTTTTGGAGTGGCTCGTGTTCGCAAACACACACGCGCGCGCACGCAACAGAACACTCACGGAGAACAGTTTGAAAGCCAATTATGCGGTGAGATTACAATTACTAATTATAAAGTAGGAAATTATATCTTAAGCTACTCTTAATTATAAGAGGCGAAACAAAAATATGAACAAAAGGAATTTATAACGCGGCGAACTGAGTCTTTTCGCGGTCAATGTTGCACATTGAAGGAACACTTCAACCGGGAACTCTGGCTCAAAATTATAAAAAGATAGCTAAAGGTCGCTCGACGGCTTCCGTTACGCTTGACGCGACTTTACAGCGACAAGTGACTTCGACTTTGCTGCTTCAAGCGCAGCTCGGTTCGAAGTTTATGAAAATGCTTGCGCTGCATTCTGCGCTGCTGCGAATCAGAGTGCAGCGCTAACGAAAATGAATTTTAATTGCCCAGGTTCCTTACCTGATTAAGGTGTTCTTGCGCTTCGCCCAAATCCTCAAACCGCGACGCTGTACAATCTAACTTATAAGTTTTTCTGCGTGGGTCCCGTACGGCCTGCCAACGGGAGAGAGAGAGAGATGGACGGTCGAAACGCTGCGCTGGGTTTCGCGGCGGACTGTATAGTGGTGTGAGGCGTTTTTCAGAAAATGCTTAGCTTAAAACGTGATTTTGAGAAGTTCGCGTCAGAAGTTCGGTGTACAATTCAGACGATAAGGCGTAAGAAGATCTATATCTGCGTCAGACAGTTTTTGAATTTCGATATATTTCTACCTAACGTGAGACGACTGATCCTTGAAAACAATACCTATCTACGGTTTATAATCATTACACGCTCTGGAGAATGGCAAAATTATTATGGCTTATTCGTTTCATCGCGCAACGTAATGTCAATAGGGTAACGACGCTGATCTTCCAGGGAGAGAGTGTTATACGATGTTTATCTTTTAGGAAATATTTTAATCGTCAAAGGCTAGGTTTGTGCTCGATTAGAAAGAATTCGGGATGGTAAACCATCTCGAACACATTCCTGCTGACGAAATAAAGATAAATAAAAAAAATTAAGTTGTCGGCACATAACAAAGAAGAAAGTAAAATTATATATATTTTTATATATTATTCATATATTTAAAGTATATTCTTTACATTATCCTTTTATTGTTAATAGTACAAAGAAGACCAAAAAGTATTACAAGATGTAAGACTTAGAACATAAGTATAGATATAAAATGTTACAAAGAAAAAAATGATATATATTTTTTGATAATAAAAAAAAAAAATGAAACTTTTATATACAATGTTTTTATATATGAGTATAAACAAAATACAGTACATAACAGTCTGAGATCTTACACAAGCTCGACTTACAATATTTAATTGTAACAACCCCAAACTTGTTCCCACTTAGAGTAAGAAGTGTAAAATGTAAAAAGAAATAAGAAAAATACCTGTGATCCCATTAATTTATAAATAAAAGTGCGTAGACAATGATAAAATAATCTTAACACAAATGTATTAATAGCTAATGTAATATATAGCTGCGAGGTAAAGTAAAGAATATCAATGTTATAAGACCGGGAGAATGAACGATCTATAAGAAAAGAAAAAATGAGTATAAATATCGAGCGAAGCATGAATGCAGTTTAAAGTCAAATATTCAGAGTTTGCTGAGGAATGAGAGTAGAATCTAAAAGAACATTGTTACTGGAATGGAAGAGTGAAAGAAAAATATTAATGATTAATATTGTTAATTAAAAAAAAAAAGAGAAGTCAAAATTGAGAGAGTTAGGTATAATAAATAGTTGCACGCAAGGGAATGAGTGGATTTAAAAGACTGTTAGAATGGAAGGCTGAGAGTAGATAAAATCGGAAGAAAAGTAAAATGTCAAACGAACGAATGAATGAATGAAAGATTCGAAAGTACGCGTGTTAGGGTAGGCAGAAGTATAGGTACGAACGAATGTGAGTGAGAAAAACTAGATTTGAACAACGCGCGCGGAATGGTAGGCAGAAGTGCGAATGGCATGGAAGGATGCGAGTTGACCGATTAATAGGCGATAAGCAAAAGATGGCGCAGCAGTTTAGTTTAGTTTAGTTTAGTTTGTCTTTATTCAAGTGCCTAAGGTTTATATATTCTTTGTTGCACTACTATATGCTTCTTATATCATTGTTCGTCTCACATTCTGTTACGCTCTCACTCTTATATCGGCTTACGTCTCTCATTCTATTCCGCTCTTACATGTTCTCATCTTTTTCTCGCTTAAACCTTACATTCATCCCTCCGTTCTTCAGAGATTTACAAAATAAATATATTTGCTCCCGTCATGCATTCCTTCAAAATTACAATTTTTCTTTTTAATTTAACCACTCTCATACTTCCTGGTCTCATTCTTTTTCCTTTCTTGCATCTCATACGCTCCTACCATTAACATTTGATTTTTCCTTATTATTCTATCGCTCGCATGCTTTACTTTTTCAGAATTCAATTTTTGTCTAGACACGCTCATACTTTTTGCTCTCTTCTTTTACATTCTTGTATCTCTTGACTCATTCATCATACTCTCTTTCATGCCTTTAGAATTAAACTTTTTTCGCAATTTAATTTTGCACTCGAACACTCGCATGCTTCTCATACTTCTACTTTATCTTTTGTACATACTTTTGAACTTTCTTAACTTAAATTGTTAATATTCTACGTTTCTCTTTTTAAATTTTTCTACTTTTATTTGTAGACCGCTGCCCTTCGCCGCTGGTACTCTAAGAAAGGATTAGGGGCAGCACATAGTAGTGAAACAAAAGATGTAATTATACCTTACCACTGTAATAAAGACGTACATACGAGCTTCAATGCCCTCTGATGAGCGGGTAACGTATTAAGCACCCCCCCTTTTTTCGTTTCACTCCGCAAATTGCTCCATAGTTCTATAATCTCAGAAATTTCAGGTCACAAATTTGAATTCTGGGAACTTCCACCGCGGTGGGGACGCGTAGCGAATCTTTCGTGCCACAGCTTGCATTCTGTAATAACGTAAAAAATAATTTTTTTGAAAAAAAATTTAACCGACTTCAAAAAAGGTGCAGTGAAAAGCATGAAATAATTTCTAGTTAATTTATTAGAATACGCACTAGCTCTAGATATAATTACTTAAAAGTATGGGAAAATGCAGTAAAAAGTGTGAAATAATTTCTATTTAAACTGCATTGTTATTTACCATCGTTTGATGAATTTGGTTAAATTATTAAATACATCATATTAGATACAATGCACCTTTTTCGGAGGCGGCGCAGATGTAAAAAATTTTTAATTCCGGTTTGGGTTAGCTTTTGGCAGAGGCGGTAATATTGAATGCTGTCAATGTATACATGTTTATTGTCTATGAGGAATTAATAGTTAATGTATATAGTATGTACACGGAAATATAGTGTGAGTAGATTTGGGCCTTTTTTGGAGGGGAGGGGCGGCAAAATTGATTACTGCTAATGTATAAACTCTCCCCATGGAAATACTGTATGGATATGAATACGTATATACGTATATATACGTTTTTATGTGAAACTGGTGAATCACAAGAAAGTCAAGAAGTCTCGCAGTTCGAAATAGACGAAGCATGAAGCTTTGTAACATTTCTCGCACGCGTCGATGACGATTACGTGACGTATGTCAGCGGTGACGCTCTATGTATTCCCATCTTCGGAGAACAATTTGGACGCCAAAATTTCCAGGCGTTTACGTCTCTCCGCCCCACATCGCTCTCTGTGGTGGCCAACATTGTCAGAGAGACAGAAGAGAGAGAGAGACAGGCGAATCGTGTTGACGTATATCGATCTTTTTGGAATTCAGACAGTCCTCAATAATTCGCTAGGACAGTAATTTTATATTATGCTCCACCTCCGAAAAATGTGCATTGCATTTAATATGATGTATTGAATAATTTAACCAAATTCATCAAATGACGGTGAATAACAATGAAGTTTAAATAGAAATTATTTCACACTTTTCACTGCATTTTCCCATACTTTTAAGCAATTATATCTAGAGCTAGTGCGTATTCATATACA